AACAAGAAGTTTCAGCTCCGTCCAAAGATTTTCTATTGGATTTAGGTCTGGAGACTGGCTAGGCCACTCCAGAACCTTGATAAGCTTCTAACGGAACCACTGTTATCCTGGCTGTGTGCGTCGGGTCATTGTCATGTTGGAAGACTCAGCCACGACCCATCTTCAATGCTCTGACTGAGGAGGTTGTTGCTCAATCTCTCAATACATGGCCCCATTCACCCTCTCCTTAATACAGTGCAGTCATCCTGTTCCCCTCGCAGAAAAGCACCCCCAAAGCATGATGTTTCCACCCCCATGCTTCACAGTAGGGATGGTGTTCTTGGGATGCAACTCCTTTTTCCTCCAAATACGGCAAGTGAAGTTTAGACCAGAGTTCTATTTTGGTCTCATCTGACCACATAACTTTCTCCCATGCCTCCTCTGGATCATCCAGATGGTTATTGGCAAACTTCAGGTGGGAATGGACATGTGATGACTTGAGCAGGGGAATCTTCCGTGCAATGCATGATTTGAAACCATGATGGCATAGTGTTCTACCGACAGTGACCCTTGAAACTGTGGTCCCAGCTCTCTTCATGTCATTGACCAGCTCCTTCCGTGTAGTTCTGGGCTGATTCCTCACCTTTATCAGTGAGATCTTGCATGGAGCCCCAGTCCGAGGGAGACTGACAGTCGTCTTTAGCCTCTTCCATTTTCTAACAATTGCTCCAACAGTTGATCTATTTTCACCAAGCTGCTTGGCAATTGCCCCGTGTGTGGAGGTCCACAATTTTGTCTCTGGTGTCTTTTGACAGCTCTTTGGTCTTGCCCATGGTAGTAGTTGGAGTCTGACTGACTGTGGGGTGGACAGATGTCTTTAAAGAGCTCAGACAGGTGCTACTAATTTAGATTAAGTGGAGTAGAGGTGGACTTTTTAAAGGCAGAGTAACAGGTCTTTGAGAGCCAGAATTCTTGCTGATTGCCAGGTGTTCAAATACTTATGTGCAGCAGTGCAATACAAATAAATTCTTTAAAAATCATACAATGTGATTTCCTGATTTTTTTATTTTTATTTTTTTTTTTTATTTTTTTTTTAAATGCTGTCTCTCACAGTGGGAATGCAGCTACAATGTGAATTTCAGACCCCTCCATGAACTCCAAGTCGGAGAACTTGCAAAATTGCAGGGTGTTCAAATACTTATGTTCCTCACTGTATGTGGGGATGATTTCAGTTTAGTGCCTACAAAAGATCGCTCTACTAATCTTGACTCTACTCATACAGGCAAGGAAAATGTTGCTGCAGTCCTGTAAAGATTTAGATTTGGTTGAAATATGAAGGGAACTGCATCCTGATAGAATTGAATACTCCTGTTATTCAAGTACACATGGCACTCATTCACAAATTGACTATACGATAGCATTGTCATAAGTGATCATGCAGCTGTATCATTGAATTTAGATATAGATATTTCTATTTATAACTGTAAGAGACGGAGATTGCCCATTGAGCTATTGCAGGATACAAAGTTTATAATATTTGCTGAAGAATTGAAAATTATTTTGAAATTAATTTTGTTCACACTGATGCTTGTGTTAGATGGGAGGCATTTAAAGCATACATGAGGGGAAATTATTAGTTATACGAAATCCAAGGCCGAACAACGGCGTATGGAAACAATTGAAAACCAAATTAGATTATTGGAACAATACTTGTATAATAATTACACCCAGCAGAATTGCAAACTATGAGAATGAAATATACTCAGCAAAAAAAGAAACGTCCCTTTTTCAGGACTGTATTTCAACAATGTTGTAAAAATCCAAATAACTTTACAGATCTTCATTGTAAAGGGTCTAAATGTTTTCCATGCATGTTCAATTAACCATAATCAATTAATTAACATGCACATCCGAATATCACACCTACGTGACAGGTACAGGATGGCCACAACAACTGCCCGAGTCACACCAGGAACACACAAGCCCTCAGTCCAGCCTCTCTCAGCCTATTGCGGACAGTCTGAGCACTGATGGAGGGATTGTGTGTTCCTGGTGTGACTCGGGCAGTTGTTGTGGCCATCCTGTACCTGTCACGCAGGTGTGATATTCGGATGTACCGATCCTGTGCAGGTGTTGTTACACATGGTCTTCCACTGCGAGGATGATCAGCTGTCCTTCCTGTCTCCCTGTAGCGCTGTCTTTGGTGTCTCACAGTGCGGACATGGCAATTTATTGCCCTAGCCACATCAGCAGTCCTCATGCCTCCCTGCAACATGCCTAATGCACGTTCACACAGATGAGCAGGGACCCTGGGCATCTTTCTTTGGGTGTTTTTCACAGTCGGTAGACAAGTCTCTTTAGTGTCCTGCGTTTTTAGAACTGTGACCTTAAATGCCTACTTTCTGTAAGCTGTTAAGGTCTTAACGACCATTCCACAGGTGCATGTTAATTAATTGATTATGGTTAATTGAACATGCATGGAAAACATTGTTTAAACCCTTTACAATGAAGATCTGTAAAGTTATTTGGATTTTTACAACATTGTTGAAATACACAGTCCTGAAAAAGGGACGTTTCTTTTTTTGCTGAGTATATAAGTTATCCATAGATAAAGTTGCTAAAACAGTCCTATTATGATCAAGGAGAAAAATGTGGTAAATTATTGGTTTGGCCAATTTAGAAAAAGGCAGTCGTACAGGGAAATTAACAGCATCATGACACCTGCAGGTGATGTGACTTCAGAGCCAATAGTGATCAATAACACATTTAGGGATTATTACGAGTCCTTGTATGCATCTGAGTGTTCAAATGATTTGTGAGAGTCAAAATTCTTTTTTAGATCAGTTGAAGTTCCAGACTTAGAAAGGGAACAACAGGAATTGGATTGCGGTTTAACAATGGAGGAATTACCAGAGGCCATTCAAAGTATGCAGAGCGGGAAAGCACCAGGGCCAGACGGCGTTATAAGAGACCTTGCGCCGTAAGAGAGACAGTAGAAATAGACAAGGATTACATAACATTTAATGTGTTCTGAACATATTGTATGAAAAACACAGTTCTAGAGATACAGCTATATTGTCCTTAGACGCATGCCAGGCTTTTGATAGGATTGAGTGGGGCTTCTTTTTTAATGTGCTTCTACGGTGTCACGCCCACAAGGCCGACGCACTCTAGGCAGTTCGACCCCCCTGAGGCAGTTGAATCTCCTGCTGGATGCCCCCAGGGCAGGTTGTATGGTCCCGATCCTCATCGGTCCGCGATAATCAGATGGGTACATTCATCCCATAGCTCCGGGCACCTGAGGGTCTCCGCAACTCAGCGGATGGTGCCACAGAGGTATTGGTGGCCGGGCTGGAGGGCTGAAGTAGAAAGGTACAGTACGTTGCATTATAGGGCAACTCTGTAGTTACAGTATGCTGTATAGTGTTCCACGGTTGGCAACTTTGGTCAGCTGGCCGTCATGAGATCTTCAATTCGAGACAAATCTGCACACACATTTACGTGTATGTATGTTACGTGAATTACATTGTAAATAGTCTGTTCCAACACTTTGATGTAGCTAATTTTAGATTCTTAATGGAATAATACAGATTTGCCATGATTTTTTGCATGAGCTTGAGAGTCTGAGAGCATGAGAGTCTGAGAGCGTGAGCGTCACGCCAGATGTGTGATTCAGAAACCCTGCAATTAGTTTTTTTTTTCCGTAAACTATTGCCGTTACAATTGCAATATATAAAGTGATATCCATCTTCAGTAATATGGCAGTTTAAGTCTGGTAATGTCCCGCATCATTTGCACTGAATTTGAGGAAATTATTAAAATTGTGCACAACATGAATTCCAACACGAATGTTAAGCCATGCACTGTGGAAAATTTACCTCATTTCAGGGACCAGTATGATGCCCCTGTCACTCTCCTGCACCCTGTCTTCTTTCACAAACATCCTAACTTTCTGGATAGAATCACTAGCACAAACACAACATAAAATAGCGACTAGAGATAAATATGGTGGATTTATTGAAGCACTCCTTAACTAGACTTTCTGCCAGCACTGATCAAGTGCTGAATAATTCAGAGTTTTTGGTAACTGAGTAACTTACTTTGTGGCATTTTACAAATAAATATCAAGTCTGGCCTGTTTTCTGACGGACTTCTTACACATTCTTGTGCCCTGTCAGCAAACACAATGAGATGAATTGTGACTGACACAAACACTATGTACCACTGCGTTGTCAGCGTTGCTATTTGTGCTGTGCTATTAACTAACCAAGCGAGTTGCAGTTTGCACAATCAAATAAGATAATCTTTGTGAAATCTAATTAACCTGATCATTAAATTCCACCATTTCACACAGCCTTTTACTAACTGTTGTTTGTGAAACAAGGCCTTCGGTGAGTTAACATACAAAGCCATACCATCCTTTTCCACCCGTTCTCTATGTTGACTACTTGCTCATGGGTCTGGAAGCGAGTGCCTGCAAACTGGAGCGGGAATTTGGACTAAACCATTTTAATGAAGGGTAGGGGTTCTCGAGGTGGAAACTCAGTAAAAAAAAAAAAAAGCTTTATGTGATGAGATATATTAGTCGTAAATATTTTTTGTAAACCAAGCATTTTATTATATAGGATATTATTGAGGAGGATGATCCCCCCCCATCTCAGTGTAAGACAATAGATATGTAATCCAACAATGTGCATGATACTATAGTACTATACTGTATACTTACTGCAATGCTTCATATTACAGTATTTCACTTGCAATTTATAATATGCATTAAATGTACTTTATAGTTACATACTGTACATATAGGCTGTAGCACACACATGTATACATACAGTGTGTGTGTATATATATATATATATGCTGTATATATGTATGTATACATTTGTGTGTTGTGTGTTACAGTATATGCACAGTATATGTACTGTTGAAATTGATATATGCCATACAGAAAAAGCAAAACCTTATGCATTTTCTATTATTGTCATCAAAATGTTACTCACCGTTGACGCTGGAAAATATTCAGAGTGCATATTTTATTGACAACATGGCTATGCATTTTCACCATCTTGTTTGTGAACAATGGTGCAAGAACTTGATGGCACTGCAAGCTTATTGCCATAAATATTTCCTTTTGAGGGATAAACTAAGGATTTTGAGAAAGTCCCAGGATTTTGCAAACAATCCATTATATGTTGCTGTTGTACAAATTGCTTTGAGAAATTGATTGTTTTACAAATGTTAAGGATGATTTGAGAAATGTACCAAAGTAACTGAGAAAAGCTGCAATAGCTGACCCAGGACTTCCCCAGCCTCATTCTCACCTTTGTGTGTGTGTACAGTATGCCTTAAAAAAAGATTACATATGAATGAGCACAGCTACCCTTTTTTTAGGTAATTTTGAAAAGCATACCATGGCTATAAGGTACAGTATGTTGTTTGTTTTCAGTATTTATACTTTTAAATGGAAAGTAAATTATTTCAAGATGGTTGCATGTTTTATATATGTCTTTTGTCATCTGCTTATTTCAGTGTGACAAAGGTTTAATGGGACTGTCAGCCAAACCCTGGGGAGCGACTTCATTTTAAAAATCGTGAACCCAATAAAGAAGCAACGCCAATGACTTTTGAAATGGGCCCTGGTAAGAACAAGGCAACGGTTCCTACAGATTCTAGAACATTGCCAAGCATTGAAGGCTTATTTGATTCCATTGCTTTCTTCTCCTGTTTGAGGGCATCAATGCTTTGTTGCATAAGTTCTGATTTCTCATTAAAGTTCTGGCTGAGAAGGTCCTCTTGTTCCTGCAATAACAAACACAGCCCATCATGCTCATGCTCAGTCACCTGACAAACAACATGTGAAAGACAGAAGGAGAGCCCCTGGTCTAGTAGCGTTTAACGTCAATGCGTCTACCTTCAGTTTAGCTGCCAGTACTCTGTCATACTCCTTTGCGGCATTCTGCCCGTCTTCCTCCATTTTCTGCATCAGCTGCTGAGTAAACTCATTGTAACTCTGCTCCTGGTCCTTTAACAGTTTCTCATACATATTATTCATCTCAGTCTCAGTGCGATGCTGCTGCTCAAGGGCCTGAGCCTTTGCCAGTTCAGCTGCAGAAGGGGAAGCAGGACAACAAATACAACATTTGAGGTGCTGTAAGCAAAATATGATTAGATATCATTACATTTGCTATGCATTCCTTATAGTGTAGCAATGAATAAAACCAGCCATCTTTAATTATACAATAATCATGTTACTACATCCCACATCAAAGAAACTTTGCCAATTAAAACTAGCCAACACTGTCGACAATAATTCATTTTGAATATATTATGAAAATGATGGCAATATTCATAACAGACACTTCACCTTGGATCTGGCGCTCAGCTTCAGTGAGAGACTGGTCAGCGGTCAGTATGGAGTCCTGAAAGGCCTTTTTCCCATCCAAATATTTCTTCAGGGCTTCTTCAGCCTGTACGCAGTAATGAGCAGGACATGTGATCGCGGTCAGATAAACTCACTCAATTTCACAACGTTGACTGATCTCAATGGCTACTCCACTGTTACCTGCACCCCTTTGCCAGGTGTTGATCTGTACCGATTGATGAATCTCTGCATGTCAGCACAGAAGGCTTTGTACCCTCCGCGTGACACGTAGCGGCCAGAGCCAAGCTGATCTTCTAGAGGTTGGAAAACATGCTTGATGATGGACTCACAAGCTTTCTTGGATTCTTCAATGTTTTTCCTCAAGATTCCTGCATACATTTCATCCAGACTTAGCTGGAGGAACAAGAAGTACCACATAGTTGGCCATTTAAAAATGATTTTTTGGAGGGGAGAACAACATCTAGTTATTTTAAGACTTTGATGAGGTGTTGCTTAGCCAAACATGGTATGCTATTGGCCAAGTGAACAAATACATGGCTACACTGGAGGGTTACTATAAACACATTAGGACGTTTTACGATGTTTTGAGCTAATGCACTTTAACAGACAGGTTAATACTGTTGTTTTATACCAAAATGAAGATCATTTAAACATCAATTCCTTTGACTGCCTAAGACTTGCATAGTACTATATATGCATGACCTCAAGCACTGCTTTACACACATTTTTGTAATGAATGGGCTTTACAAGATTCTAGACAAATTTCAGTATTTGTTAATCGTTCATAGCAACTTCAGTCAAATTCATATTGCAGTGAATGTGATTCTACGGAGCCCCCAAAGTCCCATAGAGTGATTTTTTTTTTCTTTTTTTTCTTGTGTGCACAAGTTACGTATCTTGTGTGCACAAGTTAATATTTGTAAGGAACAGGTTAGCTGTGTATAGTTGCCGTATTACGTTTGCTAGACCTCTAGGTTAAGTTGCATTTGCAATTTTCAAGAGTTTACTGATTTCTCAAAAATGATTTCATTGACATAATTAGAAGAATTGCTGTGTGTTTGATGTTACTCGCTTGTTTAATCGAATCATTCTCCTAAAAAAAACATTGCTGGCATCAGGGTACAATATGAAAAGATACAGTAGCCTTGCAATGAATATTACTCGAAGGACTAGATGCAACGCTGCTGCGCACTAATTTGGCATTAAGGCTGAGTTACACGTACAGTCCGTGTGAATGGTCGCGACAGAGGTGAAGCGTCATGAACAATACGTTTTTCTTTCACTATCGGTAATCATAGTAAAACAGGTATAAACAGGTTCAATAAATACAATAAACAGGTGTCAGTAATGATGTATTTACTGTACCTATTTATCATAGTGTATTATTATGATTACCGATAAGGACCGAAGGAAAAGTATTGTTCATGTCACTTCACCTCTGTCGCGACCATTCATACGGACTGTAACTATCTTGTGCGCACAAGATACATAACTTGTGCGCACAAGTTATGTATCTTATGCGCTCAAGTTATGTATCTTGTGCGCACAAGATAAAAAAAAAAATAAATAAAAAATCACTCTATGGGACTTCGGGGGCTCCGTATGATTCAAATATAATAGAAAAACACAAAATATTGTATCAAAACCATTTGTACAGCTACTAGACTCCCATACCAAGAACTTTTGTTGATATTTCTGATCATCATCCTTGAAGGAGCAGTCAATGAGAATCTTCAGTGCCTCCTTCTCTACGACGTGGTGAATTTGTGACAGTTCCTCTTGTGATTCAGTCGGGTAGGCAACCCTCTCCGCCATCTGAGCATTGTAGTGATCTATGGCCTGAACAACTGCTTTGGCATTCTGAATCTGTGCCAAGCTCAGCACTGCATTTTCTAAACAAGGGATCTGGTTACTGCAGATTGCATCCACATAGATCTTCGCCAGGTTTCCCAACACTAAGGGACAGTCAGCTTGCTTTATTACCATCATCAGGTTCCACTTGGCACACATTTCAAGACAGATGGTCTACAATTTATCCAAGAATGAATGATCATTTGACGAAATGATTCTTATTTTGAATTTCTGTTATGAGAAAACTGAAGCAGAAAGACAATAACACACTGCAAAAGGCAGCAGTAGATGGACTTAATACTCACATGTGCCTGTCACATGGACACCTCCTTTCAGAGTTTTGCTTTCAGCGGTGCTGAAGACATGACAGCAGAACTCCCTGACCTGCTTCACAAAGCTGGGATCCAAGTCTGCATCAGAAAGTGTATCTAGAATGCGCATTTTTTCTGTCCTTGCAGGACGGTCAAACACAAAGCACTTGCGGGTGGGGAAATAATTCCTAAGGCAGCTGCGAGGCATGTTGTACATCTGGACAGCTTTTGAATGACCTTTCAACAACAAAAAAAAATTGACAGGAAGTTCTGATTACAGTCTTTTTTAGGTTCATTGTATCATGCCATCTCTTAGTTACAGTGTTTTATTTTTCTTCATATTAAAGCAATACCAGTGACTATTTGTGTTGATGTCCTCACCAGGTTTTAGCTTTAACGCATTGTTCAGGTACTCATCAGCGGTAATTGGCTTCCCATCGTGCTCCAGCGTAAGGGTGAAATCTCGGACACTCCATACAAAGGAGGGAAAGACTCGTAAGAACTCAGTAGATTCATCTTCATATTCATCCTGCTGTGATTTCACCTTGATGTGCTCTGTCAGTTCTGTGACATAGCTGTACATGCCAATGTTCAGGAGGAAGCTTCCAGGAAAAAAAGAGACCCTCTGTTTACAAAATTGTCATCTCATTTTACATTCTTTTATTTATTAGCAAATGCTTTTTTCAAGGTGAGATAGAGGTAAGAATCAAAGAGCCAGATCAGCCAGACCCTGGAGCAACTGGGGTTAAGGGCCTTTCACAAGGGCCCAGTGGTGACATCAGAAGGATACTGTAAGCGCTGCAGGGCGTCGTTATCGATGGTTCCCATACTATTATACACCAGCATGCTGCTCAGCAGTACAGCCAGGGAAAATATCCATGTGTCATTTTTCTGATCTCCCTGAGAAGAGAAAATTTGGGTTGGGAGAAGACATAAAATATTTGTGGACAATAGAGACTATATGGGGGACAGCTGCTCGACCCGGGGGGGCGGGGTGGAAAGTGAATGTCCCTTTCTGTAAATTTTGGCCACCAAATCAAACCAATCATTCTAGTCATTCAGAAAAATCTGGCCAGGTGCTCAGGTACCCTAAGCCCTCCCATGTGCCTGTTTATTACATTCAGTGTTATGTTGAACAGCATATTCAACCTTAAATTAAATGCTGAAACAGAACAAGTAGCCCTTCTGATCACCTTCTCCACGTCGCCCAGCCCCTCGGTGTCCAGGAGCACCAGAGTGTGGTCCTTTTTAACAGGGTGAGGTACACACCACATCCAGATGCCCTTAGTTTTGGACTGTATGGTGGCTCCCAGGGCAAATCCTGACACAAACAAAATGACACATGAGGATGGTTAAGACAAACAAGCTGATTGGACAATTCTGCACTAACACAAATCATTACTACTGAAATAGATGTGGAGACATGTGCTATATGGTTAACACCTTTTGAGACACGGGACACCCTCACCATTCCTCTTTCCAGCCAGCTGGTTCATGAGGTAAGACTTGCCAGTGCGATAGAATCCTACCACTGCCACAACCACAACTCGCTGTCCGATTTGCTCCAGGATCTGGAGTGCTTTAGGCTGGACGCACAGCTTGCCATCCTTGCCATTTTCAATCAGACATATCGGTTCCGCCATGGAGAATCCAGCCATTATGCTGCAAGCAGACGTGCATGTGAAACAGTGAGGTGTAATCGTTGGCACAATTGAACTGGCACGTTCCATGGATATAACATACAGTACATCACTTGTCCTGTAGTTAAACATTGCAGTTCTTGCGCTAATTTCTGGTGTTCTTAATGCTTGCTTTGTTTATAAAAATGAAAAGCGATACATTTTTTAAAAAGAAGGATTGAATTTGGGTAATGTGGGGGGTAGCAACCCTGAAGGCATAGGATGTGAGATGATGGTGACTGTTCACGGGTTCAGATCCCTGAAGTTGTTTATTTTCCCTGAGTGCATGAGTTCAGTTTACCTTGGGGTACTACCACTGTCCAAAAACATGCAGTTAGGGGAAATTGAGTTTCTAAATTGTCTGTTGTCTCATAGTGTTTCCTCCTATGATGGACTGGCATCTCATCCAGGGTGTACCCCTGGAATAGGCTGCTAGGGCCCTGTACTAGTTAAGCATTTGAAAGATGAGATTTTGAATATAGTATGTGTGTATGTTGTCATATATCTCCTATATCAACGCCTATACGTTGTGATACCAAACATGTAAATATAAATAATTGCATGTGCTTAGGGCGGCATGGTGGTGCAGTGGTTAGCACTGTTGCCTCACACCTCTGGGACCTGGGTCTCCGCTTGGGTCACATGTGTGTGGAGTTTGCATGTTCTCCCCATGTCGTCATGGGGTTTCCTCCTGGTACTCCGGTTTCCCTCCAAAGACATGCTGAGGCTAATTGGAGTTGCTAAATTGCCCTTAGGGGTGCATGTGTGAGTGAATGGTGTGTGAGTGTGCCCGTGATGGGCTGGCCCCCCATCCAGGGTTGTTCCCTGCCTCTTGCCCATTGCTTCTGGGATAGGCTCCGGGTGACCCAATAGGATAAGTGGGTTGGACGATGGATGGGTGTATGTGCTTAAGTATGAATTGCCTGAACTATACACAATACACCTAATCTGCATTTTACAATTTTTCTCAATTGCTTTGGAGCATTTCTCAAATCACGGTTAATATTTGCAAAACAACAAGTGTATTCCCCTCATCATAATGTCACTTTTGCATAACAGAAAATCATTTCTCATCGTTTTACACAAATTTCCAAAGGTTTTAGAAGATGTATTCAAATGGTTTTGCCCAGTTTTCATCATTTGGCACAGTTTTCAGTTGCTTAAATTTAACTGCATATGTACAGTATGTGATCCTCCTGTTAGTCACTGCATGCAAAACAGTTAACCAAGCTTTCAAAACGATTTAAAGATATATTCAAAAAATTGCAGTGATACGGCATTGTTGTGTTGTGTGTGTGTGTATATGATTTTGTTGTTCTTGTATTGCTATTTTGCTGTTTTGATACAGAGTTGTGTGCTGGCGTTTTTGTTTGCTATTGTACTGTATCTTAAGATCTGAAGAAGTTACATGTGCATGAGAGTGGTTTCTCTTGCCAGTGGAGTTTACATACTGTAATCCAGAGCCTTGAAATGTTGAAACTGCTGTCATTCAGATGAACAAGTATCAGTTTGCTAAAGAAAAATGATCGGTCAGTGACAATGACAAAGTGGGAGCTCAGGAGCAGACTTACACTGACATACTTACACTGGCATTATGATAATACATCTAAGCATTATGACTCATGGTTAAAACGATGCAGATTGTACTTTTCATTTTAGCACTGACTAATTCATTGGTGGAATTATTTGCTTTTCAGACATAGGCTAATTGTTTTGGGTAAGTTACAGGCTTTTGTATTGTACATTTCGTATGTCAAATTACTTTTGAATGCTCATTGTATACCTGGCAAAATGGCGGCACACACACATGCAGCAACTCACACCTCTCCACTTTGGTGCGCTTTTTGTATGTTTTTGTTTGTATGTCTCACCTACAGCCGTCAAGATCTTGTAACAACAGAAATACAGTGGAATCAGGCAATTATATGTGAATTTTTGCATTGTACCAGAGGAGATATCCAGCACCCCAGGCTCTTTGCAAATTGTTGTTGGCTCCTGCAGGCTTTGGAGGTGGAGAGGACACAGAAAGTAAAAGCACGGCAAGCGCGGTGTGGTATGCGTGCTAGACTAAGGAGACAACCACACAAACCACTGCTACTTAGCATTTTTCTCAGCAGCCAACAAAATGGGTGAACTGAATCTTCAGATCTCCGCGAACAAATGCATACAAGACTGTTGTATTTTGCTAATTACAAAGACATAGCATCACTCTGTCAGGGTCAGCACCTGTTTTGTCCCAGTCTTGTGTCTTCTCCCCATTTGGCCAGTAGATATCGCTGGTCATCCTGTCTTTCCCCATTGTCTTAGTCTGTAGTGTCTCCTCTCCTCCCCGTTGGCCGCATGGCTCAATGAATTGAGTATGTGGCTACCTGCTAACTCCTTTGTTGTGTGTTTGAATCTTACTTCCTCTATTTTTGTATTTTGTTCCGTAGTGTATCAGATGTTCTAGTTTCTTTGTCTTGTGATTTGTATTTGGTTTTGGTTTCATGCTTTGTGCCTGTGCTTGTGTTTTTTACCTGTCTGTTATTCCCCTAGTGTACATTCTGTTTCCTTGTTTCTGTCAGTGTCTTAGTTTCCCCCTCTCAGTCCCTTGATTTAATTATTAGTTTAATCTGTGGCCTGTTTTCCCAACCCTTGTTAATTAGTCTCACCTGCCCTGTGTCAGTCTTGTTACCCCTCAGTATTTAAGTCCCTGCCTCAGTTCAGTTCCCCAGTGGTTCATTGTATGAAATGTATGTTGCTGTTTGCTAAGCGTAGTATTTCTAGTGTATTGCATAAGGTGTATATCTTGTCTTAGTGCATGGTACTAGTGATGGCAAAACGAAGCTTTTCAAAGCACTGAAGCTTCCTTTTCAAGTGTGTTGAAAAACGGTTCAGTACTCGAAGCCTTTCGAATTGGTGACCATTAGTGACACCAAGTGGTCAAATAAGGAAATAACACTTCATTTTGAGCGAGTGCAGTGAATCTCAATATTTATAAATTGGCAAAAATTCTAATGGTCTGTAGTGCGTCATGAACATTAATGACCTGGTGAAATTGAATGTGAATTCTTGTGGACTGGGAAACCATTGACTTAACTGGGAAGGGGTGCTTGTGTAATGGAAGAGGGCCATTAGTCTACAGATTTTGAACAGCATTTGTTCAACAGTGCGGGGGCTAAGTTGGTTACGTTTTTTATTCACCACTTCTCCTGCTTTGGAGAATACCCACTCACATGGAACGGAGGACGCTGGAGTGCATAAAAACTTTACTGCAAGTTCGTATAAGTGTGGATACACAGCCTGGTGCATATCCCAGAACCTCAAATGGTCTTCAGTATGTGGTATATTGGGGTCACTGAGGTTCGCGCCTCATTTTCACTTTCCTGAAGCAGTCACGTGGTTGAGCGCAGAACGAAGCTTTGGATCACCATGGTCACGTGTTTAGGGTAGAAAAGAAGAAGCATCAAAGTTCTGCTTCAGAACGCACTGTATCGTTTTTTTTGACAGATGCCTCGGAGCTTCGGTGTCAAGCTTAACATCACTACATGGTACCCTGGTGTTTATTTGTTTCCTGCCTGCCTGCCTACTCCTTGTTGCCCCAGTCATTTGTAATTAGTCTTTGTTTTTCCCCTTTTACTTTTGACCCCTCCTGGTCCATTTTGTTTTGTAGTCTTCTTAGTGTGTTCAACTTTGTTTAATAAACCCCTGTGTTCCTATTAGCCGCCAGTAGGTCATCCAACTTCCTGCCTGCCTGCACCATGCAACGTCCTTGCGCCAAATCCGCCCGGATCCTTGACAGACTCACTTATCTCGGATCTAGCTATTGAGCTTGCAGACTGCACGTTTTTTTTGCTGGGACAGAAACAAAGACTCCAGTAAGAGCAATTGAGGGGGACTCTGCATTTATATACATAACAAATGGAGTACTCCTACTGAAATCTTAGACAAACACTTCTTTTGATTTGGAATATCTCACTGTTAAATGCGGACCTTTTTACCTTGCATGTGAGTTTACCATTGCTATATTCACAGCTGTTTAAATTCCACTGAACGCTAATGCTAACACAGCTTAGGCTACCTACTCAGTCCTATAAATTCACAACAGAACACCTATCCAGAAGCAGCCCATATTACTGTTGGTGACTTTTACCATGCAGATTGAAAAGCAGTTCTCCTTAAGTTTCATCAACATGGCAGCTGTGTTACCATGGGTAGAAGAACATTTGATTAAGTTTACTCAAACATCAAAAACGGATTCAGGTCACCACCACTACCTCACTTAGGTTGATCAAACCACTTACCCATACTTCTAAACCCAGCATACACTCCCCTGAGGAGAAAAGCTCAAACCACCACAAACACTGTTAGGACATGGCCTGAAGGAGGTTCCTCACAACTGTGGGATTGCTTTGAAAGAACAAATCGGAACACTTATGAAAATCAACTGTACTCTGCTACATAAAGAATTGTGTTGACATTGTCACAGTTGAAAAACACATCCGGATGTACCCCAATCAGAAACTTTGAGTGAAAAAATGTGCTAAAATGCTCCTCAAGGAACGTTACTCCTCCTTCAGGTCCAGCAATAGAGCTCCACATAGTGTTGCTAGAGCTAACCTGAAGAAAGGCAGCGGAGAGGTTAAAGTGGCCTACAAGAGGAAGATTGAGGATCACCTCTCCAACAACAACCCAAGGAGGATGTGACAGAGCATCCAGCAAATAAGTAAGTGTCATGCCCCGCTCCGTCCGATCCTAATGTGTGCCACGCCCCCTCGTTAACCTCATGTGGAATCCCAGTGTTTTACAGCTGTTTCAGATTGTTGTCATTAGTTCAGTGTATTTAGTCCGCGTTCCCGTTTGTATCCCCAGTCCGGTCATTGATGTTGTAGTGTCATTCTGTGTTCTTGCCTGCTGTTTGTTGCATTAAACCCAGTGTTTCCCTATATTCACGGCTCATCTCGCCTGCTTCCCCGCGCGCCTGCACGATCGCCGTAACAGAATGACCGGACTCCGTAGAAAGACGCCTCACCTCATGGAGGAAGAATACCTCAGCGCTACCGACGAGGTACTACACTGGCTCGTTCAGCCCGAGGTCCAGGAGGATCCCCTGCTTCGGGCTCTAGCTTACCGGAGCAGGGACGTAGTAGAGGCGATGTCCCTACCCGGCGATGCGCATCTGACCGAAGAGGTGCGTGACAACCTAAGGCAGCTGAGACGCGGGGTGGCCGAAGGTAAAATGAAGCGGCTCCAGCCGCTCACCTGTGCGGAGACGACCCCGCTGCCTCTTACAGGGTCCGGACGGCGGAAAAAGAAGAGGCGAAGAGGGAAGGGAGAAGAGGCCACTCCGACTCTGTTCATGGGGGCTTGCTCTCTGCACCCCGCCTGGGATGACACCGCTGCTACCCGCCTGGCCGGCTCCCATCCGGAGAAGCCACCTCCGATGGAGGCGTGTCACTACCGGCCGGCGCGCCTGGGTCAAGGCGGGATACGCGCCGTTAGGGACGCTATTCCCCGGATCCCTGGAGCCCTTAAAGGGGCAGCACCAGCTCGCTCGGCGCTCCTCCTGGCGCCCATTCCGGATCAGC